GGGTGGGGGTGGGGAAATGTACGTGCGGCGGCGGTCTCGGATGCCGGTCCAACCATTTACCATTATACCATTATTTCGAGTATATTGCTGACGAGTGACGACCAGCAAGATAGTATAATATATAGATTATATAGGCACTTGCTGACGACACAACGACTGTGATTGTTCAGTGAATGAGTGATCCGGCTCGACGGTATTATATTATTATGCTGAAAACTTGGAACAATAATAAAATTAAATAAGCAATCTGGTAATTAATACATTAGTCGTGGCACAATTAAGGTCGATGGCAAATCATATGCTCTTAATTCTGTGATTTACCATTATGGTCCATCTATGACTCAAGTCTCAAGTCCATTACACATCAGTTATTGAACATTTTTTTTATTTTATATAAGTAATTTACAATCTGTACCAATAGTGTGCACGATAAGAATATGGGCTATATTATTTGCAATGGCATGAAACGGTTGATGGAAGAAGCCACCCAGTAATGACACTCCCTGGACTTGACTAAATTATTAAACATAATAATAAAATATGGGTTAGATGTAACGATATAATATTTATATGAAAGTTTTAGAAAAAAAAACTAAAATAGAAAAAAAGATATGACAAGGGAGGCCAAAGATGCATAATATGCTATTATGGATTATTATTATTATATACAGGCAAATAAAATCGCAACTCATTTCCTAAAAAAAAAAATAGTTTTTTAACTTTTTTCACACGGAGTTATAACGAAGTGTTTTTGGTGTGATATTATGTAGTGAATTCTGAATAGTGATAATATTAAAAAGGTGCTCTGCTGTACAATAGGTTACAAGTGGTTTACTGTATAATGGATGGTATTAAATTTGAATTCAATGATATAATATTATCATTGTATAAGAAAAACGATTCTGGGCGGAGACGGTATGTCAGTCTAGGTATAAGACATATTATTATATACATATCTATGGTATTAAAAAAAAATTGATCTAAAATAAATTAAAAATTAATCATATCACAATATCCATTATTTTCTTATAACGCGTTATACATCAAAACAAACCGTGATACTATCATAGATATATAATAGTGTACTTTAGAAGTTTCAAGTACCCACGAATAATATTATACAATCACAAGTCACAACAAAATAACTAAAATAGTTATTCTAGGTTTTTTAATATGTAATTTCGTCCAAATTTGAACTTAAAATTACTATAAAAATAAACTACGCTTATGTATTTTTTAGATTTTTTGGTAACAGAATTAACTACATACGTGGAATCTTGTTTTAAATTTTCAATCCTTAGATATAAAAGTTGAACATTGTATACATTTTTAACTACAAAATGATTATTTAATTTTCAATTTGATAAATTTTGTCAAAATTCAATCTTTAAATAATTATAAAAAAAATTGTTCCTGTGAATTTTTAATATTTTTCAACTGCTGTTGTAACAATATATTAGGAGCCATGCATTAATTTTTACACTTTTTGGCCCAACAGATAAAACTTTATTGATATTCATAGAATAAAAAAATAAAAAAGGTGGGCAAGTGGGTGTCGCTCTGCTGTACAGTAGGTTACAAGTGGGTCACTGTATAATGGATGGTATTAAACTTGAATTCAATGATATAATATCATTGTATAAGAAAAACGATTCTGAGCGGAGACGGTATGTCAGTCTACTAAAATCGTAATTCTTGGTTTAAATATGAAATTTTGTCTAAATTTGAAATTAAAATGTCTGTAAAAAATAAGTGTGTTTATATATCTTTTAGATTTTTTGGTTACAGTATGAATTATTTAAGAGAATCTTTGTTTTAAATTTTCAACTCTTAGTTATAAAAACTGAACATTTTATAATTTTTTAATTCCAACGATTGATAATTTTCGAGATTTTGATAAATTTTGTCAAAATTCCAACTTTAAATGCTTATAAAAAAAAATCGTGCCTATGTATTTTTAAAATTTTTCAACTGATATTGTAACAATATATAAGAAAGCTTGTATTAAATTTTCAGACTTTATGGCCCACCAAATAAAATTTTATTGACAATTATAAAAAAAAACTAAAAAAATTGAAAACTGAAAATGTCCGTAAACAGCTCAAAAAGAGTCAAAATATTTTCAAAATTGTATGGTGTATAGGAAATGCTAATATAAACATTCAGTGAAATTTTCATGTATCTACAGTTATTCGTTTTTGAATTACAACAAAATAAGGAAATTGCTACATGAGAAATCGAGTGAAAATCCAATGTTGTAAAAATTTGAATTTCAAACGCTCATAAAAATTTAATTTGACTGTCCGGTAGAGATTTTTTTATTGATAAAGGTAGATAATCTTATAAGGAATCTTGTGTTTCATTTTCAAATCTTAGATTTAAAAAGAAAAATTTTTACGAATTCTTAACTCAAAATAATTTGCTAATTTTCGTGATTTTTCCATATTTTGTCAATTTTTGAACTTTAAATGCTTATAAAAAAAAATTGTGACTAAGGATTTTTAATATTATTCATCTGCCTTTGAAACAACATATTAGGAGCCTTCTATTAAATTTTCAAGCTTTCGCAACCAACAAATAAAATTTTATTGATATTTGTAGAAAAAAAACTAAAAAAAAATGAAAAATGAAAATGTCCCTAAACAGTTCAAAATAAATCAAAATATTTTGAAAATGTTATCGTGTATAGAAAATGCAAATATAAACAACCAGTGAAAATTTCATGTATCTACGGTAATTTGTTTTAAAGTAACACCAAAAACCAAATTCGATTTTTTGGAAAATCGATTTTGCGTAAAAATTCCCGTTTTTCCTTAATTTTTATGTTGTTTTTCCCGGCGCTTGTGAAAACTACTGGAAAATGTTTACTTTTGACCCCCCAAAGTACCAACTAGATTCACTTTCCTATCAGAAAAGGTACTATTGAAGAAAATCGAAGCACTTTTACTGTCCCAAAACGTGATGACAGACACAAAAATATAAATAAAAATATAAATAAATAAAAATATAAAAACATACATCATTGTAAAACCAATACATTCATCGCTCCGCTCAGAATCTAAAAATTGAAATATGAAATTGTCCGTAAACTGCTCAAAACAAGTCAAAATATTTTGAAAATGTTATCGAGTATAAAAATTGATACAATTAACATTCAGGTGAGCAATAGTCTCGGAATGGAATGTTCAAATAAGTTCTTTTTCTTTCTAATAGTGGTTATTATTTCTTTTGCCGTCGATTCGGCTGTTACGAGTGGTAGCAAGCTGCCAGCTGGGAAAACTATTTAAAATTGTTTTATCAGTAAACGTCTACAAACCCCATACAGTTGTAGGTTTATATTTGTGCGTATGCAATTTGCGCCAAAAATAACCACCCCCCCCCCCAAAAAAAAAAAAATATATATAATATGTAATTTTCACCACATCTAGTTAATTTTGATAATTTGAGCCACTTTTTAAGGTTGTAGTTTGCGCCACACAAAACTAAATAAAAGGGCATGAAGTAATCTGCGCTATCGTGAACGCCTACAAAAATTGTAATTTTCTCCATGGTTTTCCTTATTAAAATCGTAATTTTCACCACTTTAAAATAACTAAATGATCAAGTTTATTTTAATAAAAAAATCAGTTATATTATAATTATAAATAAATGTATATAAATATTAGGTACTCGAACTCTATCTATATTAATTAGGACAAATTGTTTATTTTTTAAATATATACCTATGAAACTGAAAATCAAATAAAACATTTTTTTTCTTTTAATTATTGATCTTGTATTCTTAGTAAATACATTTTCATATGAATACATTTTTAATTATATTTACTCCATATTAACTTATTTAACTAATATTTACAAAATCATTGTGTTGTTAAAACTGAAAATAATACAACATTTATTTAATTATATCGTCTAAACTTAAGTTAAACCACGACTTGAAAAAAAACCTTTATTATTTGAAAAAGTAAAACTAAAGATTGAATATAACATATAAATAAAAATAATTTAAGATAAACATTATTCAAAAAAGTTCAACAAATGTGTTTTCTATACAAAATACATATTTTTATAAATATTAAAATATTTAGGTACGTGACGCTGGCACCCGCAAATTCGCAAATTCACCCAAATTTGTGGCAATCAATGTTATATCATTTGTACAGGTTTGTAACCACAAAAATTTCATTTGTACACCCCTCTAACCCCCGGAAAATCAAATTCCTAGGTGCGGGTGCCAGCGTCACGCTATTCCAGCACCCGCTTTTAGAAATATTTGAGCTATCGACTCAAAAATAGTTGAAAACAATGTTATATCATTTGTACAGGTTTGTAACCACAAAAATTTCATTTGTACACCACCCCTAACCCCCGGAAAATCAAATTCCTAGGTGCGGGTGCCAGCGTCACGCTATTCCAGCACCCGCTTTTAGTAATATTTGAGCTATCGACTCAAAAATAGTTGCAAACAATGTTATATCATTTGTACAGGTTTGTAACCACATCAATTTCATTTGTACACCACCCCTAACCCCCAGAAAATCAAATTCCTAGGTGCGGGTGCCAGCGTCACGCTATTCCAGCACCCGCTTTTAGTAATATTTGAGCTATCGACTCAAAAATAGTTGCAAACAATGTTATATCATTTGTACAGGTTTGTAACCACATCAATTTCATTTGTACACCACCCCTAACCCCCGGAAAATCAAATTCCTAGGTGCGGGTGCCAGCGTCACGCTATTCCAGCACCCGCTTTTAGTAATATTTGAGCTATCGACTCAAAAATAGTTGCAAACAATGTTATATAATTTGTACAGGTTTTTAACCACAAAAATTTCATATACTTAGAAGCATGTTTTTCTTTGGTAGTAAAAAAAGAATTTGTTGAAATACCCTCGTGTTATTTAAGGAATGACGTAAATCATTTCATTCATCTTGTGTCACAGTGGGGCCCGGTTAAAAATTCAATTTATCCTAGTACAAAAGAAATAATTACAAGGGCAATGGGACTTCTCGTTGTCTGTTCAACCATCGAAAATGCTGAAAAAATATTGGAAGCTTTATTTGATATTATTTTGAGTAAGTATGACGGATTTGTTGAAAACTCTGAGACATTGACACCCTGTTATAAGGCTAAACGATACTTACAATCATTGATCACAACGACAAATATCACAAACATTTTAGAAAAAACCAACGGCAACGATTATCATGACGTAGAAGAAGAAGAAAATGTAACTGATACGACAAGTGATAATGATATAACTGATAATGATAACATACACATCATGACTTTTAAAGGGTGGACACAATCAATTGCAGATAGGTCTAGAGCTAAAGTGGATTCAATAAAAGGGACTACTGATAATGCACAATATTTGCTTGCACTTGAACCGATCATAATCCGAACGCTCAAACTATTTCCTTGTTGGTCAGCAATTATGATAGATACATTTGGATATGGTGAAGAAATCGCATCCAGTAGTCGTATCGAAAGTAATTTCAATCACATAAAAAACCGTGTAATTAAAAATGATAAACTACCGATACGAGTTGATTCATTTGTGGAAAAACTATTATCATATTATAGAGGGAATGAACTTTTAATACAAGGAGAATCATATGGTGAATTGGAAACAGATGTCGATGAAAACATATGCAATAGCAACAGTTACAGTTCTAATACTCAAAATATTATTCGATCTCCAGAACATGGCAATTATGATGATACATTGTATAATATGCAAAATGATTTTGACGTAAATGAGTCATTAGTAGAAACTGAACCGGCTTCCTTACACTACATTCCTATTTCAAAAGATATAATTGTGACTTCAACAACAGATAAATGTCAATCAACTTTAAAATCAACATGCCATGCATGTAATAATGGAGATTTTCCGACGGGAGCACACAAATGTATAGAATGTAACAAGCCTATTCATTTATTTGGGTGTTCTATATCTATTCAAGGAACGGAGGAAGGATACGGTGAGTGTAGAATTTGTTTTGACTGCGATAAAATAAAATCAACATTAGCTGAGACCAACGCAACTGAAAACTGGAATAGAAAAAGTATGATTGAAAAGAAAAAACGAAGTTCACGATCATACCTTAATCTCCAACCAGGATTTGAGTTTTTAGACCTAAATAAGCGGGGAAACATAACTCCAGTAGTATTATTGAAAAATGGAAATAGTCTAATCAACAAACCGATAATGGTACCAAGCGTAGGAAAAGTAGTTCTGAATAATACTTGTTCTGTAGATTCAGTTCTATCTATTTTAGCGACATCAGCTGCCGATAGTAGTAATTTTAAAGTGTATTTATCTGAAATGGCAACATCAAACATGACAGCAAGAATATCCATGAAAATGATCGAAGACAAAAACAAAACACAAATTTATCATAATAGACTGTTATTAATATTGGAACATTTTGGTAGTAAAATAGAACTGTTAGTTGGTGGACTTAAATCAGTAGATACTACAATTACTGCTGCATCAATGGTGAACAAGATAATGCAAAAAATGCCATCTTTCATTGAAAGTAGTTTCTGTGACAACAATTTATGTACCACTCCTATACTAGAAGTAAAAAAGACACACATATCACTGAACATATTCAATGGCCAAATAGTTATTCAAAATGAGCTCGAAAAATTATTTGAAAGTTCAGACGAAACTTGCTCATATTGTGGTGAAAAGAGGAAGACATCGATGGAAGCTACTACACATATGATTATTGAACTGAATTCAATTCCATTTGGTAAGTATAATACAAATAATTGAAAATACATTTTTAAAGATTTTAGGGGTTGATAGTTAACTGCTAAATTATTTTCCCAGATTTAGAAGCATCAACAAGTTTCACAAATATAGATTAAGTACCAGTAGAATTAGTGAAACAAAACTTTGTTAAACCAAATAATTGGAAATTAGATAATATCCCAAAAATGATAACCACCAATAGTAAAAATTATTATTTAAGAGGAGTCATAATATTTCATAGAGGAGGCAGATGTGGACTGAGGAGCGCCACTGGACACTATACAGCTGGCACCTATAGAGGCAATCAAAAATGGGAGATCTATGATGATTTAAGATCCAAAGTTATTCATCAAGTCTCATCTTACAAAACTGATGTCGAACTTTTATTTTATACGGTTTAATAATTCAAATAAGAACATTAAGAACAATTAGAGTATTATATGTATTTATAATAAGTAATAATTAATAACCTAACCATTTGTTCTAAAAATACTATGGTAAAAGTATTTTCTTATTTTTAGTTTCTTAATAAATTCTCGAGAAGAGTAAAAATAAAGTCAGAGTAATTTTGAATCTGTGATATTATTAATATTTATTTATTTTATTAGTCTATATAGTTACATTACTTCATAACATATATTTTTACTATATGATATTTTTAAATAAGGTTAAGTTAAATTCATAAATTAAATTTAAAAAAACCTAATATTTTATATTTATTAATTAATTTTTTTTTAAAACTCTGCTATATCAAGAGACACATAAAAACTAAAATTAATATGCTGTATTATATTTTTTTTGAATATTTACATTATGCATTATATTAAGCCTGAAGTGGTGGCAATCTTTTTTTTAGATTCTGTATGAAGTAATGTATGTATTGATTTTACAATGATGTAACTTTTTTATGTATTTTTATTTATTTTTTGTGTCCGTGTACACGATAACTTTTCAAAACAATGATTCAATAAAAAACTTCAGGGGTGGTTTCGGGTAGCAAAGTGGAGATCCTTGATGAATTATAGAGGTAAAATTTCCGGTAGTTTTCAAATGTGCCGTGAAAAACAAAAAAAAAATTTGTGCTCAAAACTAGTTTTTGACAAAATCGATTTTTTGATTTGGCTGTTTCTCAAAAATTAAAAATTATAGATACTCTAAATTTTCAGCAAATGTTTATATTGGTACCATCTATACATGGTAAAATTTGAAAGATTTAGAATTTTTTTGACCTATTTAGTATTTATAGGCAAATGAAATTTTCTATTTTTCTTATTTTTTTTTCAGAAATGTCTTTGTATATTAGGTACCAAGTATTTTCTTATGGTTTACTAGTTTAGATTTTAGCAATAGATTTTTATTATTTCTACGTTTTATATCATGAAGTTAAGAATGAGTAAATGTTTAATAAAAGTAAATGGTAGGTATAATTATTGTACTACCACGTGGCTTATTGAGGGCTCAAATATAGTCGTAGGCACGTAACTAGTAACTACCTCTCTTTAACAAACTCCTAATTGATGAAACTCTATATTATAACGAAATGTTTTATGGAATCATAAATTTTTCATTTAAAATCGTTTCTATGTGTAACAAAAAAAAAATTCTATTAAACGAATTAATTTTCTGTTAATTTTGTACATCAAATTAAAAAACTGTTGTTACATATTTATGAAGTATACGTAAAATTGTCAATCAGACTTATTTAAATAAATGCCAGCATTTTTATGGTCAGAATGTTACAAAGTTGTTCAGCATCTGCAGGAATACAGGATATCAGAAAGATCTTCGACAACAAATTGTAATAATAAAACGTAAAATAAATCAAATGTATTTTTTTATTTTTGTTTAATTACTAATATTTTATATATTTTGTAATTTTTTATTCAAATTATTTCGTTAATTTTTCAGCTATTTATTTATTTTTGGTTTGTAGTCTTATAAATGTCAATAAAACATGTTTGTGTAAATCAAAATACTTGAAAAATTAATAGAAGGTTTTAAATAAGTTAATCTAAAAAGGATTCAAAAATTATAATAATAAATTGGCACAATTTTTTTATAAGCGTGTTAAATTCAAATATTGACAAAATTCATCCAAATTAAGAATATTTGCAAATTTTAATTTGGAGAAAGGACACGGATCCACCTAAATCCATCCTTAATTTATTAAACTAGACATGAAATATATAGGTATAGACATAACTCTGTAAAGCAAACACGACAAGATTAAACTAATATGAATAATATTAAATTGGATTGACAGACGAATATTATTAAATAATTACCCACATAAAGAAACAGAATTTAAAATATTAAGATTCATTTTTTAAATTAAATACAATAACTGGTATTAAAAAAAAAATACTAACTAAAATCTTAAACTACTTGAGTCTGCAACTATTTTTGAGTCGATAGATCAAATATTAATAAAAGCGGGTGCTGGAATAGCGTGACGCTGGCACCCGCACCTAGGAATTTGATTTTCTGGGGGTTAGGGGTGGTGTACAAATGAAATTGATGTGGTTACAAACCTGTACAAATGATATAACATTGTTTGCAACTATTTTTGAGTCGATAGCTCAAATATTACTAAAAGCGGGTGCTGGAATAGCGTGACGCTGGCACCCGCACCTAGGAATTTGATTTTCCGGGGGTTAGGGGTGGTGTACAAATGAAATTTTTGTGGTTACAAACCTGTACAAATGATATAACATTGTTTGCAACTATTTTTGAGTCGATAGCTCAAATATTACTAAAAGCGGGTGCTGGAATAGCGTGACGCTGGCACCCGCACCTAGGAATTTGATTTTCCGGGGGTTAGGGGTGGTGTACAAATGAAATTTTTGTGGTTACAAACCTGTACAAATGATATAACATTGTTTGCAACTATTTTTGAGTCGATAGCTCAAATATTACTAAAAGCGGGTGCTGGAATAGCGTGACGCTGGCACCCGCACCTAGGAATTTGATTTTCCGGGGGTTAGGGGTGGTGTACAAATGAAATTTTTGTGGTTACAAACCTGTACAAATGATATAACATTGTTTTCAACTATTTTTGAGTTGATAGCTCAAATATTTCTAAAAGCGGGTGCTGGAATAGCGTGACGCTGGCACCCGCACCTAGGAATTTGATTTTCCGGGGGTTAGGGGTGGTGTACAAATGAAATTGATGTGGTTACAAACCTGTACAAATGATATAACATTGTTTGCAACTATTTTTGAGTCGATAGCTCAAATATTACTAAAAGCGGGTGCTGGAATAGCGTGACGCTGGCACCCGCACCTAGGAATTTGATTTTCCGGGGGTTAGGGGTGGTGTACAAATGAAATTTTTGTGGTTACAAACCTGTACAAATGATATAACATTGTTTGCAACTATTTTTGAGTCGATAGCTCAAATATTACTAAAAGCGGGTGCTGGAATAGCGTGACGCTGGCACCCGCACCTAGGAATTTGATTTTCCGGGGGTTAGGGGTGGTGTACAAATGAAATTTTTGTGGTTACAAACCTGTACAAATGATATAACATTGTTTTCAACTATTTTTGAGTCGATAGCTCAAATATTTCTAAAAGCGGGTGCTGGAATAGCGTGACGCTGGCACCCGCACCTAGGAATTTGATTTTCCGGGGGTTAGAGGGGTGTACAAATGAAATTTTTGTGGTTACAAACCTGTACAAATGATATAACATTGATTGCCACAAATTTGGGTGAATTTGCGAATTTGCGGGTGCCAGCGTCACGTACCTAAAATATTTGTTTGTACAACTGTCAATTGATTATCAGCAGATTCCATGTTTAGAATATGACAGAAATGATGATTGTGCTTTAAAACATCAATGATGAATACAGGCAGCTGTGGTTCTTGGGCTTATTTAAATTTTTTTACATGCTGGTGGTTATACTGGTTATATTGTTTCTGTAAAATCAACAATTAAATTAGTTACATAATAATTTATTAACTATTAAAATAATACCTAAGTATCTCCATATTAAAATAAAATCATGATTTAAAATTATGAAACAAGTGTAAATTTTCTAAAACAGATATTATAGCATACATAGATGTTATACTCAGGGTCGGCTCTTAGGGAACTATGAGCCCTTGGCAAGGAGAATTAATGCGCCCTCTAGTTGAGGTTAAGTATTTTCTACTCAGAAGTCAGAATAAAAAACAAACTGTTTTAATTAATTTTTATTACTGAAATAAATTTAAAGTAAAGTCATTTTTATAATTATAATATTAATAAGTATATTATATTATTTAATGGATAGGTTTGTTTATATTCAAATAATCTTCATATTTTTAAGTGGAACATAATTTACCAATATTCAATCGAAAAAATAAATTATTAAAAAATTAATGTCTGAACTCTGAAGGCACCCATGATGCATTAGCACCCAGCTCTCCCACCCCTAAAACTTGCCCTGGTTATACTGCAAGTATAGAAACGCCTTATTAGTTACAACATGTATTAGCATAAATAAGAAAAACACATAATTTATGTGTAATAACTAATAACTGATAAGGTGGAAAGTTGTTTTAAATAAATGCCTAAGACATGTGTGTTGTCAAAAGTTAGTTTTCAATATGTAATAATACCCTAAAAATAATAGAAAATATTTTTTTAATTTTGTCTTCATTTCTTATTCAAGCTAAACAAGTTGAAAATAATTTGAAAGATAAGGTTAATAAAAAAAATATTTACCTTGAAAGTTAATTGTAACTTCGGCATTCCCCAATTTATTCATCGCTCTGCAAGTGTAATTGCCATAAAGTCGGTACAGAATGTTGGTAATACTTAATATAGATTTGGTAAATCCTGTAGAATATGCTAATTCCCATATTCTAAATGTAAAGCAAAAACCAAGTTCATAAGAATAAAATTAACAATCATAAACTCTCAACAATTAAGTAGGTGGTTACCAACCTGTAATGTTGATTGTTGGAGAGTTGTAAGTAGTATAGGGGTCACTATGGTACACTTTCATTTTAAATGCAAAATTCCTTAAATTATTTTG